TAGAAGGAAAAAGGATTCCTAACGTGAAATAACTGCGTATCTTATTTTTGAGAACTGTGGTCAGTCAAGGTACGTGAGGACTTTTGGGGAAACTGGCCTATTTTATCCTGAATTTTTACAACAAGCAGAAGGAACCCAATTCTGAAACAGAAGTTCAATTACTGGACTCTGAATATATTTACTGAAGGTTCCTGAGAGCTCTCAGAAGGGCATTTATTGTTGTCAGTCAACTTCAGGCAGCCATGCCCCAGCAAACAATACCATCTGTTTTCCCCTATTCCAGGAGGGTACAGACAGCTGTCTTTTAATGGGCTCAGAGGATCCACTCAGTAGACTCTGCTTCCTGGCTTTCCTTCTTGCCTGAGAAGTATACTGCTGCAGGTAGAGATGGGCTGATCCCCTGCGTGGGCATCCACTGGACGCACACAATCAAATGCCAGCCGTGGTAGTGGCAGACACTTGCTTCTACCATTTAAATCGCGTTTTTAGTATTACTATGCCCTTCTCCCAATTGCCCCAAACCAAGGTTTACTTCACTGACAGATTGGCAAGTTGGAAAGGGCTTTGACGTCAGAGAGACGTGAGTGGATCTGTTGCTTCTCAGCTGCATGGCCTTGGGTGGCTTAATTAACCTCTTGAACTCAGGTTTCTTTGCCTGGACAATAAGAGTGATAAAATCAGTTTGATGTAAGAATCCAATGAGATAATGCATGTGCAAGCTTGAAGCATATCACAGACTGACATTACGTCAGAAACATAATTTTTAAAAGTTGGTTCTGGCTCAATTCAGTGTCAGTTGTGGAGAAGATAATACACTGAATTATAAGAAAATTAACAGTGTAATATGCAGACCTTGGATTTCTGAAAAATTGTTGGACTATACCAAAGCCATAGTAACAAATTCTTTGGAAAAGTAGGTTAGAAAGCTATATGTGCTTCTCATGCTCATTATGAAAACACATGCATATATGCATGTACCTTTATCATATTAAGGGGAAAAACCTTGGAGAATAGACACTAAGAAATCATCAACATTTCTCCATATGTGTGATAAAGTTTTAAGTGCAGGATGCTTCTAGATTCTGCAGGTTGGGGCAACTGGGTTGCTTCAGTAGGCATGTCAAGAAGCAAAAGAAAGGAATTGTTCTGAAGGGCATCAGGCAGGAAGAGGAACTGCAAGCCTGCACGGGGGCCTTTCAGGCAGAATATCTACCATGAGGAAACGCATAGGGGAGTCGGTGTCAGCTAGGTTGTGTCACTCTGAGACTTTCTCCCTGGAGTTTTACTCCATAACTTGGTCCCAATAGGACTGGACTGTCCCATCCTGTGGGTCTTTATGCCATTCCACACCTTGTAGATTCACACGTATACACACACACACACACACACACACACACACACACACACACACACAAATGTAAGACTGCAGTTCTCCATTGTTCAGATGTGCTCCATAGACAAGGCAAACCTTGTCTAGACTAGGTGGGTGGGTCCACTGTGGGAAAAATACTGACAGCTTGGAAAGATGGAGAACCCTAACTCTGTTTTCTCAGAGGGGCAAAGGCCTGAGTCAGAGAACTGAAGCATCAGGGCTGAGTCAGAGATAAAACAGATGCAGCCTTCCCAGGTCAGCAGCTTGGGAAGATTGAGAAAACCATCAGAAAGAACCCACGTGGGTGTGCAGCTTAGTAAGGCAAAGTTCAAGAAGATAGGTGAACTTAAGAGTTCTCTGTGCTTCATCACCATCTGGTGTGACACTGGCCAAGTCTGCTCAGTACGCAAGCCCCATCTCCCTTTTGCAAAATGGGTGTGAATCCACAGCTTCCCAGAGCTGTTGGAAGGACTCAATCAGAGTGATGTGTAAGGTGGTGAGGCCTGCTTAATGGGTTCACCTGTGGGACTCCAGGCTGGCCATCATGTATAAAAGCTAATGGGGCCACAACAGCAGTCACATGGGTGTGTTTGTGTGCCATGGGCAAGGCTGCTTTCTGTGATGAATTTTAAAATAGTAAAACAGAAATAAATACACATTGGGAAATACTCAGTAAACACTGAGTTGCATTGGCAGTCCTGAGTTGTCGGCCATAAAATGCCCCCTGTTAGAGTGACCTGCTCCACACTCCACCCCATAATATACCCTGGCCCATAGACTTAGGAAAGCAAACTGGCTCTGCTGGCTTCTGGGCCCTCCCCGACATGGACTGCTGCTGCTTCTTGTTTATTATTATTATTATTTCATGCTATAGTTCCATAGGCTCTGGGATCTGGGATTTCCCCGGCTTCTTCCCCAATCCCCTAATGACTTCCCTTCTAGTGTTACAATGGGTGGTCCTTCATGAACAGTCAAAAGCCCATCATTCTGCTGTTGAAGTGTTTTCTGACATTGTCGGCACAGACAATGTCAGAGGGACTGCTGCTGCTTAAAGAGGAGAAGCAGCACCCATTCCCTGCCAAGGCCAGTGTCACAGAACGCCTCTGCTCGACCATTCATTCAGTCCCAAAGATCTTGAATAGGCAGGAAATGTGCGTGGTTCATGAGCAGACTGTAATTCCATTCTTGGCAGTTTTAATAATGAGGCATGGCCTAAACTAGGTGTGCAGATGTGCTGTCCAGTTAGACCAAAGGTGGGGGAGACGGAAAAGGAAGTCAGACACCTTTCACTGAAGAACATTCTATGAAGTGAAAAAGCCAGACACAGAAAGATGACTACTCCATGTTCTTGCTCACCTATGGATGCTCAAAAGTTTATCTCATAGAAAAAAAAAATAGAACAGTAATTATGAGAAACACTGGGAGATGGTGGCAGGTGGACAACAGTCACCAAAACTCAGCAAGACAGGAGGACTTCTAATGGCCCACAGCACAGTCGGTAACTTCTATGCTTTGTAAAACATTGGAAGAGAGTTCAAAGTTTCCCAGCACAAAGAACTGATAAATATCTAAGAATGAAAGACCAATGATTTTGATTTGACTGTTAATCCTAGTATGCAGGTACACAGTATATTATTTTATTGTACCCCACAAAGCTTCAGAAAGACTAGAAAAATGGAAGTAAAAGTGAAGTTGATTTTCATGCAGAAAAACTGGAAATCTGCATAATGACTTGCATGAACTTCTTGAAAATTCGTCATAAGGATTTTAAGTTTTTAGCACCAAAATAAACTTATCTTTTGATTCTGTTTACTATTAACATTTGGAAGTACTCATATAATTATGGGACAATTAAAAACAATTTTTTAAAATCTCCTTTTTGACCCAAGCCTTTCTGCTGAAGTTCCCCTGCACCTGTCAGTGTTTGTGTGTGTGTGTGTGTGTGTGTGTGTGTGTGTGTGTGTTCTTCAGCTCCTTAGCCATGGTCACCCAGGGGCACCTGCTGGGGTGGGGATGGGGGACGGTCAGCTTCTGAACTGAAACCTGGTCTGGAAGTTTAGGTTGGCAGAACAGCAGGGGGTCCTGGAGGTACCAGGAAGGCCCAGAGGCTGAGGTCCTGAACACAGTGCTGTCAGGGTTGCAAACTCAGACAGCTGTGCTGTCTGAAGGCAGCTGGCTGCTGTCATACGAAAGATATTGTGACATCTTTCCTATCCCCATAGACCGTAGATAGTGTTTGTTTTCCCACTTGGGGTGAGAATATGGATACAGATTAAGTCTTCTGTTCATCTTGGAAAGTAGCAAAATTCTAGGGCCTTCTGTGGGACGGGAGTTGCCTCCACTGGGCTCTGATCCACTCGGGGTGGGGGTGAATTGGGGAGGGTGGCTTGAAGCCAGGGCTCCTGAACTGACAGGAGAACCCGGAAGTCCAGACTGTCCTCTGACCTGTCCCCGTGCCCAAAAGTTGGTTCAATTAGAAACAACAGGAGAATCACAGAAAACACACCAGATGTGTCCTGAAGGCCACTCTTTTTTGAAGTCTGCATCAAACAAAGCCTCCCCTTTGTTCCCCAAAGGAGGTAAGATAACAATTTCCGGAGTGGACTGGGGCTTCCTAGGATGTGGGGTGCCTCAGACTCTCTGGCTCATGGTCACATCCACAGCTGCACTTGGGAGATAAGGGCCCCATGCTGTCCTGAGTGGGTGTGCTCCCAGGGAGAAGCCAAGGCTGCAGACAGATGTCACTTTCTGTACCACTTCTATTCCTTCCTGCCTTGCAAATCCCTCCTGTTCTGGAGGTACCAGGGGCTAAAGGCCAGTCTGGAGGAGTGGTTTGGAGTTGATCCTCCCTGAATGGAAGGAAGATGTTTGGTAAAGGAATTTGAAACTGCTTTTGCAACACACATACAGATAGAGAAAAGCCTGTAGTAAATTGTCCTTATCAAACTCAGGGAGATTGAGCTGCCTAAGGCCGTCGTAATGCCACCATCTCCCCCAGTGAAAACATTCTTAGCATAGGATTGGACACAGCTGTTCCCACAACTGCATCAATAAGTGAGGTTTTATGGTGCTAGGCTTCTCAGGAATAGCTGTGTTTTCCCAATCCTTTTAAGTCAAATGAATTCATCTTTATTAGTGCAATGCTGGCCAGGGCACCCTCTGTTTAAGATCTGGTAGGATTAAGTACAAAGAGCTAGGATAGCTTACAAAGCCCAGTTTCAACTGGCCTCTGCTTGCCTCATTGCCCTCAGACCACACAACTACTAATTTCCACCATACAGAATACTTTCAGGTTCTCTGAGTGGGATATACTTTCTGTTTGGTCCCTCTGGATGTGGCTGGCTCCTACATTCCACAGGCTACTGGTGGTGGTGTTCTTCCTGGCAGAGCCAAGGTGGCACAGAGAATCACAAGCAAGAGCGAACATGGGCAAAAGATTCCATGGTGATTCTGGGAGCCGGGACAGTGGCTGGGCCTGACTCAGCCTCTTAGAGTTTCCATCAAAAGGCACACCTCCAGGGACCCAAGGCCCCACTAAACAGCATCACCAGGTTAAGTTTCCTCCCTCTCTTTGTACCATTACCCTACAACTTCAGGCTTTAAGCATTGTCATGAGCTCAGACTTAAAATGCTGTTCAAACCATTGCACTTCCCTTCTCTGGAATAGACTCACCGCGCCCATTTGCTCCCTCCTTGGCAGGAAGTTAACGTGAACAGAGAACGTCAGAACGAAGGAGGGGTGTGGATGGCAGTACTCCGGCCAGGCAGCAGGGTTCCAAGCGGCACATCTTCATATCTGCTACCGTTTATCCCTTCAGCTATGCAGAGACTGTGGCAGGACTTTCCTAGGAGTGAGCAGTGTACGGTTATGCATTGTAACCCATTGCAGCATTTGGTCTCAGGACTACAACTGGCCCTCATGTCCCTGCTTTTCATCATCCATTCTAATTTTTCCTTGCCCTCAGAAACTAGCTTGTTTGGTCTGGGTAGTCATGAGACCTAAACAGTGAGCTCCTGGACCTGGACTTTTGCCTGGCTGGGGCTACTGCCTTCATCCATGTGTATCCAGGACTGGAAAGGGAGTACCACTAGGCAGGGTCAGCTGGCCCTGACAAAATGCTGGCTCTGCCTCTTGCTTGTTCAGAAACTCACAGTGCCCTGTGGAAACCACAGCCATGTTTGTGATGACCGTGGATGCCCCTGAAGGGCTAAAACTTCTAACTGGCACAGAGTCCAAAGTCATGGGAATGGCAGGCAAAATGTCTGGAAGAGGGTCACTGGGAGTGATTTGGAGGCAACCCCTGCTGTTTCGCTCTTGCTTCTCTGATTTATGTATTTATCCTATTGGGAAGTGCTATGGTTTGATGCTGAATGTTCCCCAGAGGCTGAAATATTTATAGGCTTGGTACCCAAGAAAGTACAACTGGAAGGTGGAAGGGAGGTAGGGTCTAAGAGGGCCTCAGGCCAGTAGGAACACATCTTTGGAAGGTAGTTCTCACAAGAAGGTTTAACAGAAACCTGAATTTGGCCCCTCTTTAAGCCTCTCCCTGTCCCCTGGCTGGCTATGTGAGTCTTCCCCCATACACTCTACCATCCACCCTGAGGCTGCCACCAGAACCTGCATCATGCTCGTTGGAATCCCAATATCCACAACTCTGAACTAAACAAACCTGTTTCCTTCTGAGCATGCTGGGAATTTCATCACAGTGAAGAGCTAGCAGATCCAGTAACTTCCTGCTATCTGAAGGCTTTGGCCTTGAGGTGTGCATGGCAGGCTCTGGTGGATGACACCCTGCTTCTGCCAGCCATGGCCGCTGTGCTAGCCCTCTGGCTGTGCTTTCAGCAGGCTGTCCTCATTGCCTATCAGAATGGTTATAGTAATGTGGTGGGATGTGTGATACATCCAGTGAATTCTGACTCAGCCCCACTCTCTTAGGCTACATGTAGACAGCACAGGCTCCAGGCTGTAAAGGGGCTCACCAGCATTATGCTGGCCCTAGTTTGAACTCAAGAAAGAAATCACATTTGTCTTTTTGCTTTGGACACAACATCTACCATAGCCTGAGCCCAGGATCTCTGAAAGCTTTACTGAAGTGTCAGGCCTCTGAATCGCCTAGGATTTACTGTCACCCTCTGAAGCCATGCATCTTCCTAAGGCTTGCAGTGTGGTCAGTCACTTCTTAGTTATCATGCCATCTACTCAGTGGGTCATACTGATATTCTCTGAATCATCCACGTGGTCTAGATTTCTTTAGACTATGTTATGACAGAAGACAGAGAGCTAGCATAGCCCTAAAGCAATATTGCTCATGCCTTTTGAATGTGAACTATTTCTAATGGGCTTGTCTGTTTAGGATTTAAAAGCCTGCAATTGGGCCTGGTGGAATGGCTTGATGTGCTAATCCTCACCTTGCAGGCCCGGGATTCTCAAATGGGTACCAATTTGTGTCCTGGCTGCTCTTCTTCCCGTCCAGCTTCTTGTTTGTGGCCTGGGAGAGCAGGAGAGGATGACCTAAAGCCTGGAAGAAACTCCTGGCTTCTGGCTACTGATCAGCTCAGCTCCAGCCATTTGGGCCATTTGGAAAGTGAACCAGTAGACAGAAGATACTTCTCTCTGTAAATCTGCCTTTCCAAAGAAATAAATAGATCTTTAAAAAGCCTGAAGTTGCTGATTCAGTAGTTGCATACTAAATTCCTGAGGCTGTACTGATCTGTCCTAGCAGCGGTGGCATGTCTGGCCACAGGGGTCACCATCAGCATCACCAGCTGACTGTACTTGCTGGGGTCTACAGCAGTCCTCGAGCAGTCACTCAGTTTCTGTAGGAACAAGATTAGGGAATGTAATGAAGCTATGGCAAGGCGACCTCCTCTGTATCCTCGGAGCTTTAACCTCCATTGTTCCCTCTAGGATTCAATGCTGATTTTTGTTTACTAATTGTAGCTGAGAACTTCTGACACATCGATTTGGCCTTCTCCACTGACATCCAGTCTTATCCTGAGACCCAGGACTCAGTGTTATATCTAGTTTCGAGTAATAATAACACCACTAAAATAATCATGAATAGGAAAGTCGAGACTGTTCAAGCTTGCTAAAATTTGGGCTGCACTTTTTTTTTTTTTTTAAAGAGTAAGATCTTCTGTCTGATGACTCACTCTCCAAGCAGCTGCAATGACCGGAGCTGAGCTGATCTGAAGCTAGGAGCCAGGAACGTCTTCTGTGTCTCTCATGCAGGTGCAGGGTCCCAAGGCATTGAGCTGTTTTCAGCTACTTTCTCAGGCCACAAGCAGGGAGCTGGATGGGAAGCGGGGCTGCCTGGATTAGAACCAGTGCCCACACAGGATCCCGGCATGTGCAAGATGAGGACTTTAACTGCTAGGCTATTGCACTGGGCCTTTAGCTGCACCTTTTAACTGGGTGGCACAAGAATTGCCCAGCCATTTCCCAGCTAGTTAAGAGACCACCAATAGTGAATGTCTTCCCTGCAGATTCCCACCCAGACCAGGAGGGATGAGAGAATGCTTAAAACCCCAAGATCCTTCCAAACTGTTGATGTCTCTCTCTCTCTCTCAAGAGGTACCACCCCTCCTGTCTCTCTCCCAGGAGGTGCTTCCTCTTCCCTCTTCTTTCTGTGTTCACCCACACACTTTGCACATAAAACTTCTCTGTCTGCAACAGATTCCTGGCTTTTTATTTCTATACCAAGCCGAGGAAAGAACCTACTGAGCATTGTAGGTAACAAAAATGACAAGTGTGTGGGTCTACCATGCATACACTACAGACCATACTTTGGCAGGAGCCCATTTCTTGGCTGACCCCTTTGTTCCCTGGGGATACATCATCTCTTTGTGTGTCCAGGACAATCTGGATTCTGCGTCTAAGAGTCATTGAATAGCCTGGTCATTCCTCTTCACTCAGTGCAAAGTCAATCAAGGCAATGACAACTGGTTCCTTTGGGAAAGACCAGGGGATCATTAAATGATAAACTTGCCAGGTATTATTAAGTCCTTCTCCCCTGTTGATCCAGTCCCCCTTTTCAGCCAACAGCTCTTGAACCTCAAAACTAGTCTGGAAACTTGGCTAGGTTTCTATGACACTTTATTGAAACAATTGCCCTCAGCTTCCTGGGTATTTATTTTTCCTCCTTTTTTGTTCTGTATTTGAAACAGGACCTTTGTTGGCTGCCTCTCTATTCTTAGGAAGACTGTTTTAGTCAACATTTCCATGGTGATTTAATGGATGAGGTCCTCTCAGCTACTATCCAGTTCTCATGGGTTGTTGTGATAATGACAAACTTCATTCTTCAGGCAGTGAAGTACCACCAGCTGACATGAGTTACTCAGGGATGTGGGAGTTAGGGCAACATCCCATTGTCATCTGTGAGCCAAGCTCTGGGGTAGAATATTTTACCAGTCCTGGCTGCAGACAAGAGGCACCATTGAGTCTCGTAGTGATGATGGTTGAGTTCCACTTGCTGGCACATTCCCGATGGCCTTGGTGAATGTATGTCCTCTGGTTAACTTTCTGATCTTATACAGTGCACCTATTGCTGCAAGCTACTGCTCTGGAACTTTTCATTTCTTTCCATTTTCTACAAACTTCTTAACAGGGACCATTATTTTGTTCAGGATTCTAGGAGCTACCCTAGTGGCAGGTTTGCATCCTTTCCTGGGGGGTGTTAAATCCTCTATCTCAACACAATGACCTCAAAGCTCTCTTACCAAGATGTATGTTCCAATTTGTTGGAAGAATAGAACATCCTGATCCCTGCTGGCACATCTCGATGCCATTCTGCAGCCCCTTTGAATTGTGATCACTTTTCAACCAGCACATTTCTGGCTGGGCTTTCCTCTGACTTAGCTCTGTATGAGCCTGATGAGGAGAGGATAAAGAAACCACTTGTTGCCTTTTGTGGATGCCACATAGATCTTCATGAACAGCATGCTTGCTCTTAATTCAGGGATGTTAGTCACCTACCTCTGCAAGCCCAGAAAGTTCCGAGGAGTCTGTGGATCCTGTATGCAAACATTCCAACCCCATGTGTCCTCAGAATCACACTCTGATTTCTGCCGAAGCTTCTACAGCTTTCCATACTGGGTGTCTAGTCCAGCAGAGTGGAAGTACAGTTCTAAGGATGCAGAGTCTGATTTCACAGGCTCTAACTTCCATGTCAAAGCTAACTGAATTAGTGAAACCTGTCTGAGTAAATAAAGTAGGTTCTAACTGAGGAATTTCAGGAGACCATGTGCAAGCTATCTCAAAATCTTTATGAATAGAGAAGCTTACTTTGTGCAATAAAATCAAGATTGATGGATAATTTTTTCATGATATGTAATTCTGCGAACTTTTGAAAGAGTCCTTGTATATGTGGACTTCAAAATCTTTTCTACAAAAGTAAATTGCTCATTGTAGCTTCTATGAATTATTCGACTTTTCCTTTTTATATGAAAAACAATATTTTGTGCTAATCTGTGTCTACTTCCCATGTATATGCCTCAAACTCCAAAGAACTCCCAGTAGAACCTGTTGGTTTTTGTTTCGTACTAACTCTTCCATCATGTCCCCTCAGCCATGCAATCCAGAAACTCACTCAGCTACAACATGCAATTTCAGCCTTTTAGTCAATGGTATAGATTCCATCCATTCTCTCTGACAGCCTTCTCTTCCCCTCCATCTTCACTGCCACTTCTGTAGTTTCGATTTTCATCATCTCTCCCTACGGTAGAAATGTGCCAATTACTGTCCCATCCACCTTCCATCCTATTGTTAGGTATTCAACTTTAAAACTTAAAAAAGAAATCACATCAAATCAAACTATTCCCTTTCCTTATTCCTCCCCTCTTTGGG